TATATATATATATATATATATATATATATATATATATAATATTTTTATAATTATACATTGATATAATAGTGAGTGATACAAATATAAGCCAATTTTAACCATGACTTTTAAATTAATGATTGCAAAACTAAATCCAATTAATAAATTATTTAAAAGTGTTTGCCAAGTGTGATCTACACCATGTATTTTGGGAACAAAAGTAATTACGAGACCCGATTCCAGCGGGTTATATATCGTATGATATATTTTTTTGGCATCGTGATTTAGCAGCAGCATATATGTTGTGTTTAATAAAATTATATATAGCACGTAGTATTAGATTTGATTTGGTTAACATAATTGCATGTGACTATTTGTGTCTATAAATGAAGGCTCCAAAGTGAGAGTGTGACTCACATTAGATTTCGGTGGCAAGTGCCAACAACGACGTGCAAGTTCCAAGGCGGAGAAAACAATGGCCACCTGCGTGGAGGTTTGCAATATTCAGATTCTTTTTTTCATTTTCTATGTTTTGCAGAGATCTGAGGATTTGTGAATGTTGTTTTTGTAGAGGGACGTGGATAAGAAGAGCCATGAAGAACTGAAGCACCTTGGCTTTGTGAAGATTGCAGCAATTAAAGCCTTTGTGTGTGTCTCCAATCTCTACGACTTTGCAAAGCAAAACTCGGGACCTTTGAGATCTGCTGTTGGAACCGTCGAAGACACTGTAACCACAGTTCTGGGTCCTGTCTACCACAAATTCAAGCCTGTCCCTAACCATCTTCTCCTTTTTGTCGACAACAAGGTTTATCTCTCAATCTTTCATGAAAATCCATGTTTATTGTTTTATTTGCAAGGATGAATTTTCTTAATTTCTTACTATATTTGTATTTGTGTTCAGATCAAGATCTATTTATTCCGTTTCCAATATTGTTGAATCGGTGAAATTTACCTTCAAAATCGTCGCAATTATCTATGCATGCAATTATTATCCATGATTGAAAGACACCGTTTTTTTAATTTTAATTTTTATATACACACAGGAACATTCACAGTAGAATTTTTTGATTTTCAAACGTACCCTTGAACTTGATTCTATCATGCAATTAAAGAAAACGATAGACGTTAACATGCAATTTGATTTTTGTGTAAAGTTATATACCCCTTCAATTGTCATGAAATTTCATTGTTAATGTGTGAAAGAATTGGGAAATTGGTATTTGTTATTCACATTTTGGATATACATAAACTAATAGGTGTATGGTTATGGCAGGTGGATGAAGCTAGGTACAAATTCGAAGAGCATGCTCCTCCTTTGGTTAAGCAGGTTGCAAGCCAAGTTAATTGTTTGGTTCAGGAAGTGACACAGAAAGCAGAGAAAGTAGTGAGTGAGGCACAGTGTGGAGGGGCAGGTGCCGCAGCACATTATGTTGCGACGGAGTGTAAGCAAATTGTGGTGTTTGGTTGGGTGAAATTGTGGAATGTTCTTGACCACTATCCACTGTTTCATGCAGTGGCAGAGATGGCAGGAGAGTGGTCAGACAAGTACAACCATGTGGTGAAGAACAAGAGTGAGTCAAAGGGATGTGGTGTGTTTGGTTATTTGCCTTTGATTCCAATTGATGAAATAGCCGAGGCGTTTAAACAGGGAGAAGCCAAAGCCAATGTGAATGAAGATGAAGTAGGTTCCGAGGGAGAGAGTTACTACTAGTGCTAGCTAGCTTTTTGTTTTTCACATAAGATATCATATGCTAGTATTTGTTTCAGTTTAGGGGCAATGTGGGTGGGAATGGAAGTGTAAGAAATGGGTGCAGACTGTTGAGAGCATTTAAGTTGGTAGAACATTATGTGAATGGTGGTTGTGTTAAATGGTCACAACGTTGTTTCGTCCTTTTCTTGCATGAAAGTTATCTTGGTTGTCGTGTTGGGAGAATGGGGGTGCTCAGTGCTCACTAACTCAAGAATGTATTTATTTCTAGCCGTTTCTTGCTTGGACGCCACAATCAATCACTTTAAAACATATCAATAATCAACCACTTAACAATATACCAACAAGGTAATAATACAAGTCACGTCATTCGTAGATAATTTTGTTTATTAAATATGTGGTTAGAAATTCATATGCATGAAAAAAAACATTTGTTAAAAAAAACAATTTTTTGAATAAATTTTGGTACATCAAGAGATTAGTTTTTGTTTTTTTATTAAAGAATACCTAGATTAGTTTTTTTTATATTAAAGAATACCTTGGTCTACAAAAAAAAAATCAATCACTTAAAAATATAATGTTAATAAAATATATAAAAAGTTTTTTAATGATTCTTTTTGTATATAAGAATAACATTACTCTACCCAAAAAGAAATACATTTGGTTTAAATATGTTTTAGTTCTTATAATTTATTTTAATTTTGTTTTGAATTATTATTATACATTAAAAATTTGGTTCCTAATTTTTAGGATTTTAAACTTTCTTGGTTTGAAATATAAATAGTGTGTAATTAATGTGTTAGGGATTGATGTCCGGTAAGGTAAGGTGGAGAGATAACATTTTAAACAAAATAAATTATAAAAAAAAAAAAAAAACTATACTAAAACTTAAATTGGTAAAAATACAAGGAATAAACATAATTAAATATTAAAGTATAAGAACTAATATAAGGATCAAGATAAATTATAGAGAGAGAAAATGCATATAAACATTCTTAATTTTAAAACTCGGAAAATATTGAACAAACATGTCAAGTAAATACCGTTGATTATTTTAATAAAATAAGAATATTTAAGTATTAGATTAGAATTGGTCGTTAAGATTATATATCTCATGATATTTTCTCTATTCTAAATTAAATATCATATGATATTTTAAAATTTACGTGAATTTATAATAATTATACAATTTAAATACCTTATGTTAATCTTCATCATAATTAAATGTTTCTTTCTTCAACAACAGATGTTTTACCTACTCTTTCTCTGTACTATTGATTGACATCAAATATTAAATTCTTATACTTACACTAATCAATAATTGCATAAAAGAGCCTTGTAAATTTTACTAAATATTAAATCGTTGAATAATTTTATATTAAATGTGAATTTTGTAAATCTAATCGTTAGATTGAAAGTTCATATTACTTTATATGTTTATATTAAATTTTGTTAAAATTGAACAACTTGAAGGTAATCAAAGTGTTAATATTTTAGTACATCTTGAAATGAATATATTACGTCAATTTTGTTTTATAAGAATGAAATATCAAATCATTTTGGGTTAATACAAAATTTTGTATATATGATCTAAGAGTAAAGAACTTTTAATCTAATGGTTGAATTTATAAAATTCACATTTAATATAAAGTTATTGAGCAATGTAAGTGTTAGTAAAAGTTTCACCAATATTATTATAACCTTCCTCTTGCGTAAAATGTATACTTACACTATTCAATAACTATGTTAAATAAGTCTATTAATTTATTTATATTTATTATTTTATTTTATTAATATTCATTTTTAATTAAAAAAAAGTACCGATCTAAAATGTTTTCGTACAACTATTTAAATTATCAGTCCAGAAATATTGGCGTCTGTTCAAAGTACAGGTCGGACACAGCACCGGCTTTGCAGCTTCTGAAGAAACTGATTCAGTTGCTAATTCCTTATTATGCGTAGATTTCTCCTTAACTAATGACATGTTCACTATTATTTATTCGTGTGGATTGTGCACTAATACAAAACAACAGTTATTAAACAAAAAACTACACAACGATATATATTCTCTTCCATTCTTTTTTATAAAACTCAATTCAAAAGAACTAAAAGATCAATTAATTTAATTATTAACATTAAATTTATTCTAAGATTATTCTTAACATTATTGAAATTCAATTTTATTTTTTTCAAATATTTTATTAATTTTATATTTTTTAATCTTTCATCATTAATATTTTTTTTATTATCTATTTATGTGTAGAACAAAATAAAATTCTTAAAATACTCTCGATATAAGAAAAAGATAGACTTGTGTAATAGAACAGATTTTAAACGTATTTAAGAGCTTGCTTTCAAGAAATATAACATTTGTGTTAAGGAAGCTCCACTGTCATTTCAATTTCCGTTCTTTTCAATAACCAGAGCTATGTCAACATTTTGCAACCACAAAGTCTGATGCATCTCCGTCAAAGTCGTCGGTGCCACCGGCGTTGCGTTGCTATTGGCACCCTTTGCTGATATAGACTTGTGTTATATATAAGCACACCTCGATTCTGTAATCATCTTTTGTCACCAGGGAAACTTTCTCATATTGTAATTCAAACTGGAACCATATTTGCTTGAATCTGTACCACATTAATCGAGTTAACTTCAAGGTTATGATTTGATCTGCTAGGAGACTGATTCTCATTTTCTTCCACTTTATGCTTCATATCAGATTTGTCAATCTCCTTATCCAAATTACTTGTGTACTAGAACCCAAATCATTTCTTATACATGGTGTAGAGCAGCTCAAGACAACTTAAATCTTCCTATACTTTTTTGGAAGGAAGTTCAAGTTATTGAATACTGACCGTGCCAAACATGTATTAATCCACTCCATACCAGTGCTAGAGCTACCACTACTTGCACAAGATGCATAATGTAAATTTGCTTTGGGCCGACCTATCGTTAGGTTCTATGAACATTAAATGGTTCTGAACATTGCACATCTTACAACACACTAGAAATGAATTGTTCACAGACAAAGTAAATATTAAAAAGTGATAAAGATGTATCATCCAGAAAATGAAAATACTAAATACTAAATAGTGAGATGAAACACCAATAGAACAGAAAAATTGCCAGGAAGTGCAATAGTGAAAGAATGTAAATTCTCGAGGGGAAAATTCTTGTTTTAGCACCATAGTTATACGGAACCTTTATTTGAAATAATAGTTTAGATCAATACAAACCATTTGTAACTTCTGCAACATACAACATGCAAGAAGACAGGATATTAAAAGGGGGAAATATGACAACTTCATCTTTTTGCACCTATAATGCTTGTGGCAAGTTCAGCAACACTGCATTATAAAAGAAAATACAAAATATGAGTACAGAAGACAGTGGCATGTACTGCAATTCTAACTAAAAACTGGTGCTCCTTCTGCTAGACATATATTTTTTATATAGGCATATACAATGTTTAACACTTCAACTTCTACTTAAACAAAAGTTATGTGCTCTGAAAGCATGTATCCACATATAAACCTTTCTATTGGTTTATTCTCTCAACTCTCCACTAGTAGTACCAAATCATCTGCAAAAGTATGCAACATTTCACCAGCCATTCAAAATTGTTACTGAGAGCAAAACAAGCCGTTAAGGTTTTGAAATTGACCAAAATAATAGGCTTCATAGATTCCTAGAAAAAACAAAAAGCTGGCAATCAAACATCTCACACTAACTTCAATTTTTTAGGGAATACCATATGTTAACTTTTAAATGTGAACAAAGAGACCTGTACCTATAAACCAGAGTTCAACTAAGGCTGACCAAACCAAATTATGCTTATCATTCAACTTGTCTGAGGTGATTGTAAGGTTACTCAAGAAAACTACGTAATAACTAATAGGAACACTTCAAGATAAATCTTCTTGACTAGGCAAGGAGGGATTCTCATGTTCAAAATCAGACATACTATTTGCCCATGAAGCCATTTTTTGTCTAAAGAAACAACTGTGAAATTGCAGCTAAAAAGAGGCTCTCAGATTGGGAGATCTAACACCAACTTTTTGAGGCAGAGAAAAGGTATTCTCAATCACTTAAGGAAATCCTCCCCGTGATTGAATATACATAGATAATTTGTAATCTCTAACATAAGGAAATTACAATTTACAATCTCTAATATTAGGAAACTAGGAAAATAAGAATCAATACAAATCAAATCCTAAATTGTACAGAGAATACACATCCAGTTAATAGGAGATATTTTCGGTAAATAGGAGAAACATTCCCAACACTCCTCCCTGGTACTAATTAGGCTATCAGAATCAAGAGTGCAATTAAATCCCGTGTCCCTCATTGAATATCTTTTAAAATTGACTCTTTCACCTATCCTTGATATATCTTGTTCAGTGACTAAGATTTTTTCGCTGTTTCTTTCTCTACCTTAAGCAAGCCTGTATAGGGTTTTGAAGAGCAATACCTCATTGAGGTGGGGTAGAGTAATGTTGGAGGAGATCATCATAAGGATCCCTTCTCCCAGCCACATGCCTAATTTGGGCATCCCATGCAAGCTGAGAATTGTGGCGTTCGAATGTCCAAAAACCATAGGGTCGCATTGGGTAGCTCCACATCTCCTTCGTCTTCTCGCACCTCTTCTTCACTTTATAAACGTGCTCCCTGAACCTACGATCCCTCTCCTTCGGATCTTCCATAATCCTCAAAATCAAGTTCTCCGCGAATTCCATAATGAAACTCATCTTCTCTTCCCTTCCAATCCTCCAAATTTGATTAGTTCTAAACGCTAAATTACGACAGGAAAACATAATCATGACAGTAAATAGATAAAGCCTATACGAGAAAATTGAAACGCTAAGATTAACAGAAAATAGTGAGAGAAAGTGTTTTGTTATGTTACCTGTTCCGAATGAAATTAACGAAACTATGTCTTCCCCTGCTGCTTTTTATCTTTGGCTCATCATATATACATTTCTTTTTTTCTTTTTTCTTTTTTAAGTACACCTCTTTTTTAAGAAAAAAAATAAAATATTTTTTTTAAAAAAAAATTAATTTTATACTTTCAACTTTCAATTTACTACTTTCTTCTTTTTATTCACACTTTTTTTTTTCTCTTTTAATTTTTACATATTACCAAATAGGTGGTATGAAAGAAAAATAAGGGAGTGCATGTAAAAATTGAAAAAAGGAAGAAAGATGTGTGAAAAAAAAAGTACTAAATTAAATGTTGTGGATGTAAAATTAAAAAATTTAAAACAAAAAATTAAAAATATTTTAAAATTTTAATTTTTTTTAAAAGGAGGTGTATATATCATAAACTTTTGTCTTTTTTTTTCCAGGCCCAAAAGTTTTAGGTCCATGAGGCCCACTTTTTTAGCTCAACCATTTCAAACTAGTCTTGGGCCGGGCTTATGTTAATTAACAATCAAAGTTATAGTTTGGGAAATATTTTATAAAATAGTTTTCTCCTCTTGTGTATCATGTATGCATATAGCATCTGTTCCACTGTTCCTGCTATTATAGACTTTCATTGTCTTCATTTACTTCTTTTTATAAATTTCAATATTAATTGATTTAATTTAAGTTAACTTTAAATTTTAAAGTTATTCCATTTAACTTTGACTACCTCATTTTTAAAAATCAAAATCAGTCTTGTCGTTATCCATTAGTTCTTTTTAGAATTGACTCGAGTCTTGAAAATAAAAAACACACTTTTTGTATTGTATTTTTTCTTCAATGTTGTTTCTTTTGTCCTCTCCAAATTATATCTTTCTCAAAATAACTACTTTTGAAATTCTGTTATTTTTTTCTTATTTGATTTCGATTCTCAATTATTTGTAGTATAAAATTAAATTCTTTAAATTTATATATGTGTGTTCTCTGCTTCTTAAAATTATTATTTTTTAATTAATTACATATATCTACCTTACAAGTTTAAAAATTTTATTTATATGTATTTATAACTAATGATTTTAAAATTTACTTGAATTAAGAATACCCATCCAATAAGGTGTTGTTTTGTGTAATACATGAAAGGAATATATAAATACCTTTTTTTTTATGTAAAAGTAATCTTAATAAAAGAGTTGGAATGTAGTTGCGTATTCATTTAAGTGCGTGTTTGCTTTAGATTTAGAAACGTGATTTTTCACTCTCTCTCCACGTTTACAAGCCAATTTACGTAAAAGTTACAATTTTTTGCTTCTCACAAACGTGAATTTTCACGTCCAAAAGCTAAAGCAAACACACACTAAATAGTTAAGTGAAATAACAATAAATAAAAAAATACTATTAAAAATTAATTTTATTTTATTTTCAAATAATAAATATTATGAGTTAGATTAAAAATTAAAAAATATAAATTATGAGAGCAAATAATGTTTGCATGCAGTGTTTCTAAAACTAACTCAGACTTGCTAGTCAAACCAATTAAATTGATAGTCTGACTAATTCAAGCCTTAAATTCAATTGTTCATACATTTAACTCATTACAAATCAGCATACGCTAACCTATTTTTTGGTTGAACCAAATAACTAAAGGGTCATAACTTAGACCGATTCAACCATAAGCATGTGTTTCTAGTTGAACTTCTTTTTAATTAAACTTATGTATGGATGACAAATAAACTTGTACCTATAGGTAATGTTTAAATTTGCCCTAACTTTGACGGGCAATATCTTATTTGACCAAGTATGGATACAGGTAATATCCAATTTATTGAATTAGGTATGGGACGAGATGGATATATACATACAGTCATGCACTTTGTATCCATACTCATACCCGTATCTGCTTTAAAATTCTAGAAACTTAAACTTATTTTTTAAAAAATTCACTTGACATTTACTTAACATTTACATAATTGTTACTCTATTTAAAATTTATTTCAAATGAAATTTAATTAATGCAATTTTATCATTTCATTCTATGTAAAAGAATAGTTTTTTTAATATTTTATTTGAAAAAAAAATATTATTTTTTAGTAAATAGGGATATACCTGATATTTGACGGAAATGGGGATGCAAATTTATAGGGTATAGAAATGGAATATTGAAATTCATACTCGCTTCGTCCTCTTATCATCCCTAAACTTGTGTTCCATCTACTACATTTAAAAAAAAATTCAAAAGAATGTGCAACCCATGGGCAACTCAAATAAATTTTATAGTATATTATTAATTTTAAATTATATATATTTAATAATATAATACACATGCATATATTACATACATTACTTTGTAATTGTGACATCAATTACATATATATATATATATAGAGAGAGAGAGAGAAAAAAAAAAAAGAAAGACACATACACATTATTTATGTAATGGTCAATATGGTCTTACACCTAATGGAATCTACTAGCAACAAAACCACTAAATTACCTAAGATTAATATAGCCATAATACCTAGATATGTACACCAATACATTTTACCTAAATTATCTAAACCCCAAATTGCCTTTCCTTCACCTGAAAACTAGAAGATTCCAACATGTAATGCAATATAACATACATATACACCATCCACAACTCATTCCACATTAGAATTCCATCATGTAACCACAATTTGACTAACATCATCAATATCACTTCATATGTTCCAAAAACCATAAGACTCAACATTTCCTTCATACATTTCAGCAATCCATCAACATATATAAACACATTTTGATGACAATCAAATAACATGCAAATTGCACAACTCAACATAACCAATATTTTAATTAGTTTCCCTTACCTTCAAAAATTCCCAAATCCAAGAAGAAAAGAAATAAGGAAGGAGAAGATGGTTTTGACCTTCATCAGGAACTCTACACGACTCAACTCCTTTGATTTCAAAATTCTACTAACTTGAATCAACAAACACAACCAAATCAAGACTCTGAGGAAAGAATCACCCCCTCAATAAAAATGTTTAGAGATAAAGAGAAACTCACGAACCTAAAGCACTTCTCTCTAACTTATTTCTTTAATTTTTTTTAAATTAAACTTATTAAATTTAGTTTTTAAATGAAATTTTATATACTTTATTTCCTCAAGGTCAAACTTGATATCTGGCAAAAAAAATATTTCTAAAAACTAAAAAATTTCTCAAAAGTTCCTTAACTCTCAGAATCTCACAATAACAAATTTCAAAACAAAACACATCACATAATTATCAATACAAACACAATAATTAACAAAATGCATAGTATTACGATTTATATTTTAAATTTGTATTAATTTATAAATTTAATATACAATTTTTTCATGTATTTATTCATACAAAATAAAAATAAGGATAAAGATAATTTTGAATAAAATAAGAATTGAACCTAGATATATATATAATTATTTAATACTTTATATTTTTTTAAAACTTCTTTAAGATATAATATAAATTTATTGAAATTTAACACGTTATAACATGAATAATATATTTTTTTAAACAATTAATAAAAATTAAGTCATATAATTTAATTAATAATCTATCATTTTGATCTTTATCATATGTATCCTAACCAATTTGGTGTTCGGTCAGTTTTAAAAATTGTTCATGCATGCCTCTTCTACTTGAATTTTACCGATTGTATGACATGTATTTGGCTGTACTTTAATTTTATATTTATATGATATGATGTCTATGCTCGTCATGTGCACAGAACTTTGACATATGGCCTCTACATTTATTCAATTTTATATTATCCGTATATTTTTACTTTATTATTATTTATTTCACAGTCTTGCAAACAAAAATGTTAATAAATATTACTGATCTTAATAAAGTGGGACTGATGTGCCATATTAACCCATTTGATTCATCTTTATTTTTTTTAATGGGTTAACGTATTTTGATCTGTAAACCGGCACAATTCATGAGCTATGATAAGTTGAGAACAAAGGTGGAACAGTTCGGTTGTCGAGTTTTTATTTTTTATTCTTATTTCTTAACTAGAAAACTCATATTCTGGCACACTTTTCATCGATTCTCAATTCTTATTTATTTATGTTTTATTTTTAATATTTTAATTTATTATTATTAAATAGATTGGCCTACCAACTTATTATAAAATGAGAAAAGTTGAATTTCGAAATTCATATTAAAAAAAATGAGGAATAAGTCTCCTTTTTTGGGCAGGTTTAGTGGCTAGATGATAATTGGAATAGTTTAATAAACTCACTTTAACAACAATAAATAGCGCATATTTAAATACTAATTTAAAATAAAGTTTAACAAAAAAATGCATTTTAATGTTAAGAAAGTAAAATTTTCAGTATAATTTTCTTTTTAATCTCAGTTAAGTTCAATTTACTGTTTTCAAACACACCCCTAAATAGCTAAATTTGTTTTATAAGGTATTTTCACAAAAAATAAATATTGAAATTTCACTGAGGTTAATACGGTCATAAATGATGCTATTAGAAGATTTTTTTAGGTGTAGTACATACGCGTGTTGTGGTGGGAACAGCTATTTTTCTTTTTTCTTTTTTCTTTTTTTCCTGAATGCCTATTTGGACGTGACAAGAAATAGAGAAAAAAAAATTAAAGAAGTAAATTTGAAAGTTTTAACTAAGAGAAATATAAAAGAAAACAAAGAGAGGGAAAATGTTGAATTCTCTCAACGTAATTGGTAATTAAATAAAATAGTGAGAAGAAAAGAAATAATATTTTATCACCAAGACATCCCATGCATTGGAAATACAAACGTTTTAATTCTTTTTTATATTATGATAACAATAAAGTTAGAATCTTATACATTTTGCATACTATTCAAACTCATCACTATTAAGTTAACATAGTGATAACAAATGTTTTTAATTCGTTACCTTTTTGAATAAAATTGATAATCCATAATCTTTAGGAGTTTTTCAGACCTGATAACTTGAGCTTGAAAATTGAGTTGTCAAATCACAGAAAATAATTGTTAAGTTTAATTTCTATTTACTGTTGATATAAAAAAAAAATACATTGTTAACTAACAAAAAAGAAACAGATAACTCTTCAAAAATATATATAATATTTTTTAATATTTTAAAATGCTCTACCTAACTTAAATTTTTTAACACTTTTTCAACTAATTATTTTATTGTCATAAAACTTTTACACGTAGGTCAAACGGGCCTATTAATCTACTTAAATCTAAATACGCATTCAGAATTTTTTTAAAAGAAATAATAGTTGATGCTATATTGCTTAAAAATAGACTCTAATTATTATATTAAGAGTTAAATATATTATTATTTATTTAAATAAGATTTTTTAGTCTCTATAAAATTATATTGTCTTTCTTTTTTCATTTATCGAAATGTATTAGTATATGTTATTCTTGTTTTTTTTTTTTCTCTACAAACTATTATATGTGTAAATAGATATGATATATGACACATTTCAATAAATAAAAAATAAAAAAGAGAGAAAAACTATTTTATAGGATTCTAAAAGCAATAATACTCTGTTTAGAAAAGAATTAAAAAAAATAGAGGCTCTAATTCTCACATCAAATATGATTAGACAGAAAGCAGAAGATTGTGACAACACATGGCAATAACTGCAACTGCATATGTTAGGCAAAGATACCAAAGTGAGAAGCAAAAGAAAGGAGAAAGATATAAATAAATGAAAGAAAAAAAAAAGGAAGAAAAAAAAGTTAGATGGTGAAACAGAAAGAGGGAAGGTCATTATTATTCTGAATTAAAAGCATAATAATGGTAGCTGTCGTGGAAGGTTCTTAATATTTCGACAAAATAGTGGTAGTTAGCACGTAACATGTAAGCTTGTCTCCGTAGCTGCCCAATTAAGCAATTTTGTTTTCTAATGCACGAATTCTATTCTACCATCCAACATACATGTATTATTCTTCCATTCTAATTTTTTTTTATTTTATTTTCCTTTTTTACCAGGCCTCCCATGCATTTTAAATGTGATGCTAATTCTCATTTTAGTACTAAGGTTGTTCCCAGTTCCGTAAGTGAAATTCATTCATTCAACTTAACTCCACTCAAAAATTATTTCTATTTCTATTTATTCCCCAAGTATAGTGATAGATTATTTTTTAAAATATTCGATGAAAAACTTAACAGTATAGTTTTAGAAAGATACCGAATTACCTTTTTTTTATTATTATTCTCGATAATATCTTTTGATATTCCCAATAATTGGAGTAGAATTTTGTATATGGGCCTCATTATTGTATTGGGCCTGGACCACCCGCTGACTTATGTGGGGGTGTGCCAAACTGAATTAAATAGTAATCCTGGACCAAAAGTAAATAAATAACGAACATAGCAGAAAGAATAAGTACTACCATGATCCTCTCACCTTCTTCCTAAACCCATTAAATTAATTTGTTTCCCCGTTTGACAATAATAATATATGCAAAATCGAATCTTGTTTTTTTTTATAAAGATTATTATACATGTCCAGAATTTCAGCCAGCTAACCTTTTAGTTTCAAAACCATTGTGTGATTAGGATATGACATATCCCACCCACAACAATGCACTTGAACTTGAAATTTGCAAATTAGTTGTTACTCCTACTTTCTTTTTTTCATCTTTTATGATCCCTTTTTGACCACAAACAAACGACAGTGATAATTAAAGCTAAATAAAAGCAGGTTCCGGAGGACATGACATGAGGAATATTTAGTTTAATTTGTTGATAATCGTATCGGGTCATTTTCTTTATCCATAAAAATTTGCACCATGCCATGTACATATTTTTATTGAGTAATCTTCTTTTTCTTTGGAGGAGATTGAGTAATCTTGTTAGATAGTCTTTTTGTAAATTTTAATACACTGCATCGTGACTTTTAATATATATTAAATTGGCTCAAATTGAATGAATAGGAATAAAGGATCTTTCCAAATATGTGCATAAAACTTAATGCGTTTAAACCTACCAATAGAAATTCATAAAGTCATCAAATCATACCAATTGATTCTCTGCATACCAAGTGGAGCCATGGTGGGCCTAAAAACAAAGCCAGTAAAGCCTTTAAAAGTTTAATTTTTATATACTATCTTTGTAAAAAAAAAAAAAATTACACTAACGGCTAATTAAAAATTATGATAAATATAATTTTTAAGATAATTATTTTTAAGATCAACAAACTTATGACATGTGACAAATTGTGATTAAATGATACTCTAAAAATTTCTTATAAGTGCATACAATTTTTTTATTAATATTTTGTTTGAAAATTGAAAATATTATATAAGTAATGTTAAGAGTAATTATTTTCACCAAAATATAAGTCCAACATCTTTTTTTATGACACATTCTGTCATTTTTTTTAACGAGTAAGTTTATTTATTTATTTCATTAGTTGACTTCGACTATTTAATTAATATTAATTAAAATGCATATCTTCTATTAGTTATTATCGTGAATGTTTGGTAAAAAAAATATTGTTAATTGTTAGTGTTAAAATTGACCAAAAGTATAAAACCAGTACTAATGATCATCATGTTAATTACCTATTACACGTATGTATATTATCAATAATTCCTTTAGTTCAGCACGGATATTATTTTAAAATTAAAATTAATGACATAATATCTCCATAAATATTAAAATGTTTGACTTATTTTTAATTAGAAAGGAAATAATAAATAAATTGATTATAATAATTTAGTAAGTCATTTTAACATCATAAAAACAGTAAAAGGTAAACTTAAAAAAGAAAATTATAGAAAATCATTCTAATTAAATTTAAATATGTCTTTTCTTAAAATTCGATTTAAGAACAAATATGAATTTTGCCAGCCATTAGGTGAGGCCAAGACACAAGTAGGCTTCAAACAATATTATTCATTGGTATGTTAATTTGTTTGAAGAATCAAAAAGTATCCACGAGATACAGTACAGTACAGGAAATTAAAAACTTAATAGAAACATACAGTAAATAGATCAAACAATGGTTAGAAACATGTTGTAAACAGGTGAAGCACATGTCTAGATGAAGATTAGTCTTGTACTCAGAGATCACACATTCACACCGCTAATAATTATTACTAACCTCACTTAAACCTTTTTTGTGCAATCTGATTGCTTTCGTTCATAGAATAAAAAAATTATTGTAATCTTCCAAATAATTAGTACCATCAAGTAATGATAGGTTCTTTTGAAGCCCTTGTAATTAGTAATTAGTAGCACTTTATTTTAATATTTTAATAGTTTTCTTAAGCTACTAACAAGTTGTTGGATCACATATAACCAATCCTCTGTCTGTAATCATCTCATGCATGTGAGGGAAGGTGAAATTGTAGGAATGCGGAATTAGTTGTAGAACTTAAAATATCCATTAATAGTTATTAGAATTTTTTTCACACTGGTCCTTTTTCAAACCTACGCGATGGCGCCGCATTAAATCAATAGAGACAAATTACAGCTCACCAAATCCCTATCTTCGACCAAATTATATTTAAATTTGTCGTATTCACTAACATCTCAAATCCAAGCAATTTTTCTAACTATTTAATTCTAGATAAATTTGCAGAAATGATACAATATAAACGTAAATTTATGTGAATCTCAAGGATTAAATTAATAACAAAGATTATAACCTCTTACCATTGAATTTCTAATTAACGTTAAACTCTGAAATTACAAGGGGTAAAAAAAAAAAAAAAAATTAATCTCCTCTCGTTTTTTCGGAGAATTTTCGCACTATACAGGGAAAAAAGAAGGAAGCCATATACTCTCTACCTTTTTTGAGACGGCCGAATAAATCTTATGCAAATTTTCTTTTTCTCTCTCTTCACCAAAAATAGATTCATTTTTTCCGTCCAAAGTGACTTCCGTTACCGTTACCGTTACCGTTAGGTCACGGTTACATTGAGAAAAATTGGCTAACTATCCACCATTACCTCGCCGTCGCTATCATCGCCGCCACCGACATCTTCGCCGTCCTCGTCGAGCCACCGCTCTACGGGGGCGCACTCCTTCTTGTGGCGGAACTTCCAATCAAGAGCCTGGCACGCGCGCGAGCAATAATTCACCGCGCCACACACAGAGCACCGTCGAAACTCGTGCTTCCTCGTCTCCGGCCTCCCGCACCCGGCGTGCGAACAGAGCCTCAAGCAGATCGGA